GCAGTTCGAACTCCGGGACTTCGACCTGCACAGCCACCCCCACGCTCCCAGCTCGGTCGCTCTGCTCGAGTCTTCTGGGATAAATCTTACCCGGAATCGTCAATTGGGCATCCCCTCCGTCTGGCTCGCCCGCCTTCTACTTGACGCTGGCCTCGTCGGCGACTTCTCCAGAGCGACATGGGTAGCTTTTCACGGATGCTACGATTTTGCTATCTTGTTCAAAGCCCTGTTTCAACTGACGACGAAACTGCGTGTGAGGCTGCCGGAGACCATGGAGGAGTTCATCGCGCTGACAAAATGGTATTTTGGTGGCCGCATATATGATGTGAAGTGCTTGATTAGAAGATGCGATGGGCTTTACGGGGGGCTGGAGAAGGTGGCTGAGAAGTTGGACGTGAAGCGTGCGGAGGGGAAAGCGCATCAGGCGGGGTCTGATAGTTTGCTTACTTGCGAGGTGTTCCTGCGGATGAAGAAGATTTATTTCGGTCCTGCTGATGACGGAAAGGAGAGGAAAATGCCCTTTGAAGGGCTTATTTTTGGACTTAACAGTTGATGATATGCCCTGTGTTAGTTTTTCTGCTTACAGCGCAAAGCAATTTTGTTGATATGTAATAATTCTGAAAAGTAAATGAATTTTAGTGTTGATAGTTTCCATTTTATATTACATTCTTCTTTTGAACATATGCAGGCAATAGGTTTTGATCAGTAAAATGAAGCAGTTGGAAATTAAAGCCTCATTATTTCTATTTTCTTCTTGCTGTTTTTCAGTTCAGCAGGTTTGAGAGCTTTAATACTCTGTTTCGGTTTATATTTGGAAATTTATGAGGAATGGATAGAGACAACGCATGAGGAAATGGCAACTGAAATGAGAGCTTAATATCTATTTTTTACGGCAATAATAGCTACTTGGAAAGTAAAACTAGAATTAATACATATGGAAGAATGACAAAATGTAAGATGAAATTATGGTAGAGGAAATAAATATATGATACAAAGGATATCAACATATTCTTACAGAATTTGCTCCATTAATCAGATACAAATGATATCAACATATTCTTACAGAATTTTTTAACTTCTTCAACAAAGAAAAAACCTCAGAAAATCTGAAATGTAGTTTGAAATCATAAAACATAAGCGAGGAATCTGGACATGCTCTTGAATCATGAAAATCCTGTTCTTCAGCTGCACATTCAATTTTGTTAGCAAATGCCTAGCCCGTGTTATCGAAATTTTCTTCTGAATCAATCAGGAAAAGTCAAATAAGAAAGAAGACAATTGCAGATAGCAGCTGCACATTAAGCTTTGACCTTTTTCAGCCTCTCCACGACGTTGGGGTTGGATATAAGAGGATCCTTGGCATAAGAATTTCTGACCATTTCAACCAACTTAGCTGCTTTAGATGCATCTTCAATTAATGCATAGAGAGTTTTGAGGCAATTCTTCCTATTTTCTTCTCGATGTTCAAACATTTTAATCAAAAGGTAGAAATACAATTGTATTAGTTTAAGCTTTCCCATGCCATGGAATGAATCCAGAAAACTAAACGCCCTTTCAAAATTTGTTAACGATCATAGTTTAACAAAACATAAAACAAGGCAATTTCTTTTACTCCACTAAATTAGAATTTAAGTTGAGTTTGGAACAGCTTTCCCACTATTTGGCTTTTCAAATTACAATCAAATTTTTATTTGCCGCTTTTAAAAATTTTTATGAAGAAAATTTGCTTTTTATAATCACATATATTAACACGTCTAAACATTAATAAAATAGTTGTCTATTTTTTTTTAAATGAATATATCTATAATGCCTACATTAATATCTTTAAATTAAAATTGACTTTCTCATATCAACTTCATAAATATCTTTATGAAAACCTGCAGTCATTTGAAATAAATCATTAGCTAAAATCTGATGTCTTTTGTCATCATATAGAGACTCTCAACTATTACATCTTGTTATTAGTAAACCAACTTGAAACTAAATTCACCTAATGAGAAGTCATTGTTCCTTGAAAAACTTCTAGCCCACCCTATGTATTGGGATAAAGGATTGATTATGTTGTTGTTGTGTCTAGTTCTCCTTACTCTTAGTGTAGCCACCAAAATGCAAATCTAGGAGGACATTTAGGAACCCCAAAATCAATTAAAACTCAATGTACAACAACAACAACAACAACATCAAGCCTTTATCCCACTACGTGGGGTCGGCTACATGAATCCTTTTTCTCCATTGTGTCCTATTAAAAGCCAAATTCTCGTTTAAATCTAATAAAGAAAGGTCATTCCTAACATTTCACTTTTTATGCCCCTTTATCTTAAAACTCAATGTACGCCATACAAAAATCATTTGTTGATGTGAAAGGTGCAAGATGACTCAAAAACCACATTTGAACATTTGTCCATCAATATATTTCATTGATGATGTGGCATCACAACAAAACTCTAATTTGTGTGAAATAGGATGGTTTGATAATCTTCTTTAACAAAACAACATAATTATGCATTTTATATCTTAGAGCCATTTAAACTCTCATGCTCCACTCTTACTTACAGCTTAATAAAAACCTAGACAAATTAAAATAGAAGACAGATATCTAAACAGAGAAATGGAAGAAAAGTTACATATAAAAGAGCAAAAATACAAGCAGAAGCATATCATTCCTTTAGCTTTTGTCATCAAAGCACGTTGTCAGAAAGCAATTCCAAAGAAGGAACTTCTGTTCTGCAATATGGGCAATGGGAATGATCTGAAAGCCAGGGGAGGACGCAGCTGGAGTGATATCTGTGAGCACAAGGCAACCAGATGACCTGCTGCTGTACTCTAAAGCCATCCAGGAAAACAACACAGATGTCCACCCTCGAAGGTTTCCTTGAGAGCTCTGTTCTCATAACTAGCATGAACTTGCCTTGAGTTGTCTTGCACACTTGTTGTTGAGCTCCTCATCCATCTATGGAGAACATGGAAGCAGAGGTTTTCAGCCAGTGAATACAACCACAATAAGCTAGAAGAAGAGAACACAATATACAAATATCAACTAAAACAATAGAAGAGGTGATTCTTTTGTTAAGATAATATTTTCTAATGGTTTACCAAGCAAATTAAAGAAACCATACTTCTGCTATGCTGAAGAAGGGAAATGAAGAGTCTGTTTTGGACAGATTCCTCACTACTTTGCTTTTCATAAATCAACCACAACTCCATTTGGCTATTGCTTTCTTACAATTTTCAAAATTTTCTATACTGAAAAACTATTTTTTGCATCCAAAGTAACTTATTTATCTTTCTTTTCATCAAAATGTACACATTTTTTCTCATACTATGATTTGTGCATTGGTAGAAAAAAATCTTTACTAAATGTAAGGACTTGTCCACTTGCAGAGTGAGGGGTTGTGGTCCATTGCCCACCTTTTAATTAGCCAATCTTTCATTCATCAAGCAATAATCAAACAAACAAGAATAATTGATTTTATTAGATATTGACTCAATCACTTTGATTTATGCCCCTTTTACAACAATGTTTTATGATGTGATATTTGGTATTGTACTATGCTATCAACTAAAGCAAATGAGCATTTGGTGAAATAAATTTTAAGATTATCTTCTAAAACTCTATAAACAGACAAAGATATCTATAATACACAACTAAAAATGGAATTGGTACTCCACCCAAACAAAATCATGATCAATCACTTTTTTAGATCTAATTAAATAAGAAACTATATAATATTTTGATGATGTAAAACTATTATCAACATTTTGATTTTATAGTTTTGAGTGTTAATTTACAATTCATTTCGATATACATTTAAAATACTTAAAGCATGAAAACAATGATTTGAAAACACAAACATCTATTTAATATTAATGTTCTAGACATAATAGATTTTTAAAATTTAAAACTAGTTTGCTGCTTTATAATTTCATTTTAACATTCATATTTTTAAAAAAATATCAATTTACACACTAAAAAAAAAAAAAAAAAAAAAAAAAAAAAAACCAGCAATCTATCATATTGAAAAGTCCCTAGTTTCTCATTCACAAGGTACCATAACAATCTCATCATATTAAAAAGAAATTTTAAACAACCTTTGGGATGAGTTGGAGACCTATTAAACATTATCCACACACAATAAAATAAAAGGATGTCTTGATCAAAGAGAACATTGATTTATACAATGTCTCATGAGCTTCAACAACACTTATAATGTCATTCGCACTAATGTCCTCAAGATGTTTTCTCTACCTAATGTTTGAGAAGAAACATAGCAATAAATGACATCAAAATCAACAAAAAATATTTCCATTCTTGCTAGTATACATACTCAATCTAATATAACTTGTTAATAATAAATGGGTTATGTTCAGTGTTGGCCTTGAATTCCTTGGCTAAGAATGTATAGCGAAGAAATTTTCCTCTTTGAATGATAAACAATATTTTGTGGGGTTGAGATTCAATTCATAATTAATGAGGGATGCAATGATTTAACTAGGTTAGCTAAGTGCTTTTTCATAACTCCTTTTTTTACTAGGAGCTCATCTATGCAAACTTCAAGATTTTTGTCCTATGCATTTAAAGAATAATTTCATCAACCTTTGATAGTTTGTGATAACATTTTTTTTACTGAAGGGCATTATCTTCTAGTAGAATCTGACTAACAAGTGTTGAGATCCTTTTGAATTACTATCCAAATTGCCACAGTGGGCAAGTTCAAATGAGAGAGGCAGATATCTCTAAATCCCTTTGAAGGAGAAAGTGAAAGCCTCCTTTGATTGATTTATGAGGTTGGCAATATGACTAGCTTCACCCTATCATAATAATGAAAGGTTTGGATACCAAATTTCCTCCTTTGAACTTGGCTATACATCCATCATTGAAATGCTTGATTCTAATTTAAGCCTGAAAGGTTTGAAGATTATTTGATCATCCAATTATTATTCAAAAAATTCTAACTTGGTTCAAGCAGCTGATTTGGCTTATTTGGATTGAAATTGGATTAGTTTTGGGGTTGTTCAGTTTCTCTCATTGATAAGTTTGGTTTGACAATAAGTTTGCTAAAATCAAAGTTTGGATGATCCATATATTAAAAAGAATTTACATCAAACATTGAATTTAACAATCCAAAGATAATATGATAGTTCTTTATGCCACGTAGGCTTAAAATCACTACATGAAAGTCGATTTTCCATTCTTTTTTTTTTTTTTAATTTGCTGGGTAGCCATTGTTACCGGTTGGGGGTGGATGAGGGCTATTTGAACCCCCAATTATGCCAAGTTTTACTCAATTCTACTTTAATTACTTATTGTCACCTCCCTATTCAAAATTTAAGTGAAATTTATGTGTATTCGTTGAGCTATTTGGAATGATCTTTGTGCTCGAAGACGGAAGAAAAAGTTTGTTTTAACCGGCGGCGTTAGGAAGAATTTATATATTCAGCAAAGAGATTTGGTTAGTATTTTCTATAAATATTTGTTTAAATCAATTTTATAATTACTAATTTGCTTTGCAAATAGGATATATATTACCCATCTAGATTTGATGAAATTTATGC